CGGCACAGACCGGCCAGACGCCGCACGTCAATGCACACTCCGCACAGACGGGACGTATGGCCGCAGGTAAAAATAGTATTACACTGCAGTTTGGGGCCGCCGAACAACGACTGCAGAGTCCCTTCAACATCCGGCCCATTCAATACCTTTTTCATGCGCTGCCCTACCTCAGACAGGAGCTCACACAAGACAAACACATCACTATCACTCATTAACGCGACATCTGCCGGTTCCGGTGCATACCGCTGCGTAAAAAGAACCTTCTTCAGCTGTAACTTTTCCCCTATAATGCTTCGCATATGAGACTCATTAAGACGTTGTTGCTGGCGAATATGCTGTTGAAATGCCTCATCCTCGCGCATTGAGGGTGTTCTTTCGTGCACAACGTAATCTTCCTCCCTATTGGCATCCCTCCCGCCCTTTCTATCCCATGGATTCCTGCCTGTCGCTGAAACTCCAGGCATTTTTCGGTCCATCTCTTTCTTTAGCCGCTCCCACTCACGACGCATTTCATGAAGAGTTTGCTTCGCCTCAAATTCGTTCAGAATGTCGTTTACAGGCGTGGTAGTTGACGCAAAGGCAGAAGCGTCCCCTTCAGCATTGCTTTCGTCACTGTCATGATCAAAAATGTCCGCATAATCCTCTTCGATATCATTGGTAAAATGACTGTACGTTCTGCTTCCTTCGCGGCCGTCACGTTTTTTTTGGCTCCTCGTGTCTCCATTGCTCTCACGCGCCTTACTTCGAACACTTTCACCCTGTTGACGGCCATCCATGCCACCATTCACTTCCGCAGTAAATGAAGAAGAGTGTGGTGCGGGCCTCGTTCTCGGCGCCTGTTGGGGTTGTTGTTGGTTTTGTTGGTACGCCGAAGGAAATGTTGGTGGCGGGGCAGCACCGTTCTGCGTGGAGTAACCACTAACCGGCACGCGATCACCGTGAGCACGGCGCCAGCGTTCATCTGCTCTCTCATACATTTGGGAGGTTCCAAATCGAGTACCTCCTCCATAACTTCTGGCGTTAAATTCGTTCTTGTTATTATTGCTGTTACTGTTGTAATCATCACTACTATTGTTATTGTTTGCTTTTCTGCTACCGGTCTGAGTAAAGCACTTTGCCCTTGAATAACGCTTGTCAAATGTAAAACCTCCTGGCGGGGAACCAAAAAGCTCTTCCTCTGTAAAGAATGGGGTTGTTTCCTCCGTGGTGTGTTGATGCCTCGCGTACTGAAAGCCGGATCCTGCATTGGCGTAATGCGTCTTAAAGGTAAAAAAGGCCGCTGTGGGACGTGCGCCAGGTCTGCCGGCACCGACGCCTGTTGCCGTACTTACATTCGCCGAGTCACGTCCGCCATTACGGCGAAAGTGTACACAGAGGGCCTCATACGCCTCATTGACCCTTTTAAACTGCTCGGTGCCGCCTGGGTTACGGTCCGGGTGCAGCGCCAGGGCCTTTTGATGGTACGCCTTCTTCAATGCCGCCTCGTCGCAGCCACGCGGGAGCCCCAACACCCGAAAGTGGACATCCATGTCTAGTGCTCAGAAATACACGCCGGAGGAGAGAGGGAGAGAAAGAGGGGCGAGAAGGAGGGGGGGGAGGGGGGGGGATAAAAAATTTATATAAATAAAAATCTACACGCACGGAAAGAAGGTGAATGAAAAGGAAAAAGACGACAGTGGTAAGCCCCTAAATATTTATATTTATATATTTGTTTTTTTGTTCTTTGTTCTTCTTTTGTGTGCCGCCGCCACCCCCGTCTCACGGAATGACGGTCTCCTGTTACTTCAAATCTAAAACTACGGGAGCGACCCTTTTCCCCACCGCCCCACACACACACACACACAAACACCGCCTCTCGCCTCTCACCTCCGCAGGGAATTCTGATTCGTGAGTAATGTACACTGGAGGGGTGAGGAAAGAAAGAAAAAAGGGAAATGCAAGCACATTGTACATCACACACAGACTCTCAAAGTAAACGAAGGTGAGAGGAAACACAAATAAAAATAAAAAAGAAAGGCCTCAGACGTCAGAAAACACGCACAAAAAAAGGAAGCAAAAAAAAAAAAAAGTCATGACAATGCAAGAAAAAAAAAAAAAAGCAGGAAAAACAAACATTTCAGTGCAGCATCCATCCATCCATCCATCCCCCCATTCAAAGATATTCGTGTCGTCATTATAAAAGATGGGAAGGGTGGAAGGAGGAAAGGACAATTTCCCCCTCCCCCCCTTCTTTTTTTTTTTTTTTTTCCTTCTGCCTTTCATTCATCCCAGGAACAATAAGGAAACACACACACACACACACAAGAAAAAAGAAAAAAAAGAAAGAAACGCAGCAGAAGCACCCCTATGAGGCTTGAGAGCATGCCACCAAGGACAACAACAACAATAACAATAATAATCATAAAAACCGAGAAGAACGAAAGAGCAAAGAAAAAAAGAGGAATAAAAAAGGCTTCTAAGCTCAAAAAAAAAAAAAAAAACCTCTTGAATCGGTAACATTTGAGCTCACACATGCGTAACCGTAACACTATATATGACCAGTGCGCCTGCGAACATACATACATACATACATACATACATACAAGCATGCATGCATGTACGTACTTATATACCTGGATTTGGGCCGAATAACGCTGCCAAAAATGAATCATAACCATCCACGCACACACACACACACACAGAGACACAGACAGATGATAAAAAAGGGGGGAAGAGAAACAGAGAAAAGGAGGGGAGAGAAAGAGGAGGAAAAGGGAGAAAAAAAAAAAGAAAACAAACACCTTTCGAAATATAACACCACCAAAGACAACCCCCACCCACCCCACCCCCCCAAAAAAAAAAAAGAAGAAAGGAGCGGACAAAATATTTTGGCTCCATGAGTACACATCCCCTTTTTTGTTGTTTTTTTTTTGTTTGTTGTTTTTGTTCTTTTTTCTTTCTTCTCAAACACCAACACATGCACCCTCTCTTTCATGCTGTACCCATATATATGTGTGCCCCTGTATGTGTTTACTTGTTTGTGTGGGGGGTGATTTATAGTTTATCGTCTGTCCATTACACCCGAATCCGTTCTCGCACGACAACAGGCACCGAGCCGCGGAGAACGTCCATCTCCAGGCACTCACTGCCGCTCTCCAGGGCCTCTTGTACCCGCTTCACCAGGGTATCAATGTCTAACACGGGTTTGTTCTCACACCCAAACAGGTAATCCCCCTCACGTATGGAATCGGCATCCTTGTCGTTGCCGTTTGCTACCGACGCCGATCGCTGCACCTTGACGCAACTCAGAAGCGAGTCAAATTCACACGATGGCAAGTGAACAGCAAGGAACTGTTGCGGTGTTAGCACTTCCCTCTCTGTTGTACGCCTCATAGGTTTTATGGGAGCGTTCCTTCTTATTAGGTGAGAGGAACGTGAACTCGTGGCGGATCTTAGAAGTGGCCAGTCAAACTCATGGGTGAGAGTGCTTCGATGCGCCAGCAGTCGGTCCGGTAGAGGGCAAGAATGCGACAAGGGACGTTGACTGCTGCGGCCAGAGGAAAGGGTAGGAGAACGGTCAAGCACCCTGATTTCTGAGTAACCCCGTCGGCCGCTATGGAGGCCACTTTGAATCGGTGTGTCATGAAACACATCATTCGGACTGGGCGACGAAGAGAGGACTCTGCTACTTTGTTGTGAAGGATGGCGTCCAGAATTGAGCCTAAAGGTTTCGCTGCCGCATAGTAAATGCTGCCTATCTGTCTCTGGCTCCCTCTTCTCCCCATGCCTTGCCGGCGGGATGGGTATTGACTGCTTACGAATAAGTTGCTTTTGCATCGATCGTGTTGTGAAGCCATCTGACGGTGATGAAGAAGGTGATGTTTGGCCAGGACACAGGACATCGTTTTTCTGCTGACCTCTCGAGGACTGTCGCCCACAATTACCCACGGAGGATGGCGGAGAAATCATTCTTGGGGACACACATTGCATGGCGGACCCAACGGATCGACTGGAGCTGGCAACATTGTTCTTATTTTGTAAATTGGACATCGAAGAAAAAAGCCGTTGCCATTTCGACTGCATGGACTCGTTGGAAACTTCCCGTCGCCGCGGTGTGGAACTTTTTGGAGTTTCTCTTCGTTGTTTCAAAAATCCCTTTTGGAATTCAATTTTCTCTTGTATGAACCTCTTGGGAAATGCCCGCCGCAATTCATCCCTCTTCACATGTGATGCATCAGAACCGCCACCGGCAACACCGTTTGCGGATGTCGGTGGCGCAGCCCTCAGAGAGTTATCAGGCCGACGGGAAAACAGGGCCCTGGGAGATGATTTCGACAACACCACCCTCTCCGGGACAGCTGCAAACATCTTGGCGCTAGGCTGCCGTGTACCGCCTGAACCTGGGGCGCAGCTCGACGGACAAATTGTCCGTACACCTCTTTTCTTCTCGCTCAAAATTGACAATTTCTCTTCCTGGCAGCGGGCATTCCTCCAAATGCAAACAGGCGATGTCCGCCGCGGTGCACGAGGAGAATTTTGAAGGTTATTGCTGAGGAGCCACCTCGGGCTTTCCATTTTGTTGTTCTTTGTGTGTGTGTGTTTTTGTGTTTTTGTGCTTCCACGACGTTAACGGCGGTGGTGTTGGTGGCGGTTTGATTGAATTCGGCAGTGAGCAGCCACTTCTCCCTCCTCCTCCTCCTCCCCGCAGAGCCGCACAGAAACAAGACCCCCGCAGTAAACTTCAGACCGACAAAAGAAAGGAATAGAGAGAGAGAGAGAGGCGGTGTCCACGTGCTTTTCAGCCTTGCTGCTTCCCTTGTCTCAGAGAGCCGTCTGCGTGTATATATGAGTGTACCCTCCACACGGACACTGCGTGCCTCTCTCTCTCCCTTTCTTTCTTAATCTGAATGTAAAAGGGCGTGGCCCCAAACAATTTCCTTCGTAATTGTGTCTTTTTTTTTTTTTGCGTGTGTGTGTGTATGTGTCTGTGTAATGCGATGTTTTGTCTTTTTTTTTCCCACTCTTCGAGATGTAGTGTGTGGTTGCACGTATCTCTTCCTTGCGGCAGAAACGGGGGAGGTAAAAAAGAAAGAGCAGCGTGAAAATCTGTTCTGGCAAAAAAAAATACGAGGCGCATAACGGAGGGACCCACACACACCTCAGGGACAACCAGAAATACAGACGCATACGGACATATTCTTCACCCACGCATACTGTACACAACCCACACATAGAAACACAGATCCACCGGCTCCCGGCAGCCTTTTCTTCGTCTCCCGCTTCCTCACGTTCAATGTAAAGGCCACGGCGGTTCAATGTTTCTTGCGGGCAAATGCACCAATCTCCTTAAGGGTCATGGTGCGTCTATGCCGGCGCAACCAGCCAACCGTTGTCGTGAGTGTCCCCTCATCACACCCGCCACCAATGTTACCACCGTGGTTACTACTACTGCCACCGCCGCTGCTGCCGGCATTGTTGTTGATGCCCGCATTACCGCTGCCATGGCGCCGCATCCAGGCTGCAAAGCGAGCGGGATAGTCGTCATCCAAAAGATCCATTTCAAATGGCACGCCCATCGTTGGTGTCGTCATGACAACGTCAGCAACCAAGTTGGGGTCTTCGCCATTGCGGGAAAGCGACGTGGAGTGAGGCTTCTCCTCTTCCTCCTCATCCCTCTCTTCCTCTATGTTCCTGTTGCCCTTTTCCTCAACATCATCTTCCTCATCAACGCCATCGACATCCTCCTCGTCCTCTCCCCGCTTACGCTTCACGCCGACTTCAGAGTTCATGACGCCCAAACGTGGCGACGATCGATTTGGCCAGCGCTGCGCCACGAGGGGAGCAAAAAGTGTGCTGCCGGCGAATACATGCAAGACGGCCAGCGGGGTGGGGACGCTCGTGTACCATCGAGAGTACTGGAGAACCAAGTCGCGATGTGCCTCGGCCAGCCCCTTCACACGAAGAATTCGGAGGAGTTCGTACTGCACACAGATGCGACGGCAGAGTGATTCGCGTAGTGCCGATGTCATCAAATCCATCAGGGATTCCGCAATAGCCTGCTGCGGCTCGGCGGTGCCTGCTGTTGTCTCTGCCAGATTGCCACCCCCATCATCCACCGACGCATGTGTCTTCCGCTGTTGCTCAACCAGTATCCGGTGTGCCTCGGATGGAGAAACAAGTGACAGACGATGTGGCTCCCCGTTCGGCACAATGCCAATAAGAAATATCTCGTCGAGGAGCGCATCGCACGTTGGAAGCACACACCCGCAATCACAACAACAACCAGCAGTATCAGTGGCAGCAAGAGAAAGAGAATGAGTTGCTGTTGCCATTGGATTGGCATTGGAGATATCCCGCTGAGTTATGAGCTGTTCAAGCACCGCATTCAACTCATATGTAATTGTCACCAGTCGTGCAAAACACAGCACCCACTCACTCCTGTCATTTCTTAAAAGCCGCTCCTGTTGTAGGCGGCAAAAACGATGCAGCTGCTCCCGCACCGCTCCTGTCAGTGTCGACGGTGGCGTTCGAAGCCTTACCACCCGTTGCCGTAAGTCATCTACGCCATCACCGTTCCCCTCGTCGGCGTTTTCAACGGCTGTGCTAGACGTCTGAGAGGTATCATCGTCCATGAAAAATGGCGGCAGGTGATAGTAACGCTCCCGTACCACACGCTGTTCCTCCCACAGTCCCTCCGTGTCTGTTGTGTACCCAACACCGCCTGAATGCCACTCGACCAGTGCGCCCGGCGAAGCTGTGGGGGAGGAAAGAAAAGTAGTTGGCGCCTCCAACCTGCGTAGGGAATCGTAATGCAACTCTGAGGCGAGAGCAGCGGCGTGTTGCAAGGACATCGCCCTGGCGGTGGTGGGTGCGTCGTCATGGGGGAGTGGCCACAGCGTACAGGGCACTATTTGTGAAACAAATCCAAACTGGGCATGTGTTCGCGGTAGTAGTGGAACCAAGTTGCACATCACAGTCTCATCCACGACGTGAACAGGCACCCTCGAGGCTGACGAGGTGGATGGTTTGTGAACCCCCCCAACGCGATCGGTCCTGTTGCTACCTTTGCTGCCGTTAAGCATACGCTCCTCCCGCAGCCATGCCACGGTCCCAGTGGCGGTGCGTGTCAGTGGCGCCAGATGCATGGTGCCGCGGCATTCACTTTTACCGTTCCTGTCAAATGCATGCTCATGACGTTCTTCTTCCTCCCCCTGCTTCACAACGGCGTCCCTGCCGTCCGCCTCCTCTTTTGGAGAAGACACAGGCTGCAGATGATCCGCCGATACGCATGTCACACCAGTCAGCCAAAATGCCATGGAGGCAGATTTTGACAACGTGTGTGTATCGTCGTGACATGTCGGTGGGGGGGAAGCGTTGCAGCGGGGGCTTCTCATTCCCCCCGTCATCGCCGCCGCCCCCGCCTCTCGCCACCTCAGACGGTCCAAAGCAACAGACACGCACACCCGTCAGTCCTGTGAAAAAGGAATATGAGAGCAAACGTTTTTGTAGACAAAATTCTCTTCCCTTATCCTTTCGATTGCTCCTTTTTGTTGTTGTTGTTGTTTTCCACCTCGCTCTTCATCATTGTTTTTTTGTTTTTGTTTTTGTTTTTTTGTTGTTGTTGTCGCACAATAAAAAATAAAAAATAAAAGCAAAACAGAATTGAAAACAGAAGTACATTGCAGCGCATTCATGCGGTTCTAGAGGCAATACAACCATGAACGAAAAAAGCCAAGTAAACACATCCCATCCCTCCCCTCTCCTTCCTTCTGCTATCCCCCCCCCCCCCCCCTTCCACCTCCCATTGACGTTCATCCACATCATGATGTATACAGTTTATGCTATAAATACTTGCAGAATACACTGCACAACGAGAAGAGGAATAACTGGGAACTGTGTGGCAAAATGGTCCCTTCATTCTCTCCCTCTCACTGTCAAGTTTCATACGCACGCTTTCCTCTTCTAAATAATAATAATAATAAAAATAATAACTGGTACTTTCCCATTCCCACCTCACCCGCAAGTTACCAAATTGTCCCTTTTTCCGTGCTTTTCACACGACTCTCCCAGCATCCTTTTGGGATTGTTGTTGTTGTTTGACACTCTGCGCTCTGACGCCCAGTCCTAAACCCCATCTTTTCCCGCCCCACAGTACTCTAGTTTACGTGCGTATGTGCAAACACTTATGTCGTTATTTTTTGCCGTCTTGCCCTTCATGAGAAGAAGATGATGATGGTGGTGGAGTGGAACCATCACCACCACCACTACTCTTACCGGTATCCGAGGAGCTTTTCTTGTCAGAATCCCCTTTTTTTGCCTCCACACCGTACCTCTCTTCATATTTGGCTATAGACTCCTTAAATGACTGATCCCATGCTGACTTACGCCTTTTCTGTTCCTCTTCCTCCTCCTTTGTGTCCTGCTCCTCATACTTTTTGTATGGTGCCTCCTTTGGTGTCTGTTCGTAATGACTTTCTGGATGAACAGGAGGCCTTCCTTCATTATCCTCAAACGTGATGCCGTCGTTAAATGTGACCTGGTACGGGAGTGGCTCCCCTTTGGGACGGTTGGATGTCCACAAGTGTCTCCACTCCGCTCGTGGACCGTCTCTCGGCTCCACAAATTCACCCGCCTGCACTAAATCGTAGTCAGGATCCTCGCTGGGGTCCGTTTCCTTGCCGTGTTTAATCTGTTCCCTGAACCGCGCCTTGGCACGCTCCACTGCTCCTTTAAAGTCCTGCGGTCGGATCTTCCCAGGGTACGACCATGGTTCTTGTACCACCTCTGTCCGTTTGACCATCTCCCACTCCTTGTCTTCCTCTTCCATAATACGACGTAGCACCTCCTCCTCCTCTTCACTGCAGCGAAGTAAATGGCCTTGCTTAAAGCCGTAGCCCTCTGCCCGACCATGATGATCCTGTCCGTTAAGGTAAATGTGCGAGAAGGGGTATCGCGGGTATGCCTCCCACATGCCAGTCGGTCCCATAAAGTCATAACGGTACTTGTAGCGGAAGGTGCGATTGCCGTGCTCATCCACCGTTTCGTCCCACTTTAAAATCTGCTGCGGTGGTCGTGGAAACATCTCCGTTGGGTCATCCGGGTTCTTTGGCTGCCAGTCCTTGATGCGGAAAATCTCATCCGCCTCCATATACCAGTGACCCACAATGTCTGAGGAAGTGTTTGCAACATGCCAGCGGAACGGTGAGGTGTGCTTCGTATTGTACAGCAACGGGTCGCAGTACGATCCGGGCACCATGCCGTACGCAGAGAGCGGAGCAAAGCACACCTGCTCTAACCGCTGCTGGTGCAAATAGCCCTCACTCCCGGGACTTGTCCATTCCTCGTCCCATGTATAAACAATCCACGAGCGGTGACGTATCTGTCGCCAGAGTCGCAGCAATCGGCCGGGTTTAACGTTTTTAAATGTCGTCGGTGGGGCATTGGCGTCGTCTTCCTCGGCAGCCCACACACGCAGCAGCGGTGACACCCGCAACAGCTGCGGGCGGCAGACTCGCATCATTGTTCTTTTTTTTTTCTTTGCCCCCCCCTCGTCTCCTCACAGATCCCACTTTTTGTGAGTGTTTTCGCTTCGTCCAAAAAAACGCATTTCATGACGCCAAGCACAAAAAAAAAGGCAGGGAAAAAGAGGGAACGCGGATTGTTCCTCCATGCATAGATGGCATAGACGGTCCACCACCACCTCCACCAGTCACATCAGCCACACAACACTAAATAATAATAATAATAATGAAACAAGGAAAAGAAAAAGGGTATCGGGCTTGTCGGCCCCATCAGACTAAGCAGCCGCCGGCAGTCACACAGCCGTAAAGAGAGACGGATGGAAAGAGACGGCCATGCACGGTCCTCCTTTTCTTTTTTTTCTTTTTTGTTTTTTCCGCCGAAATATTCAGCTTGCAGACCCGCACAACCGCGCCGCTGTTTGGCTCATTTCTTCAACCACGTATTCGGCCACCACACCAAAGGCGACAGGGAGCGGGACATCAGCAATCGCAGTGTTAGTGGGGAGTGCCGTTGTTTTGTCATTGCCGCCATGAACTCCCCTTATAGACGTAGTGGCGGTATTTGTCGGAGGAGAAGGACCAATTTGCAGGATGGCACGCAAAGCGGGAGAGTTTGCCACACGCTGAACCTTCTCCCGCAGCCACTGCCCCATTCTTTCCTCACTAAAGCGGTAATATTGATCGCCACCAACTGATTTCACATCGCAGAGGCGTGAAAGCACGGTGTGCGACTGCATCTCCTCCACCACGGGGGTCAATGCAGGGCACTGCGCCATTGCCACTCTCCAACCCGGCCATTCGGATGATCCACCGCCTCGAGTCTTCGTCGCGCCCATAATAATGTCCTCCGGTGAAACAAACATCTCCTTCCTTGCGTGGGTGGCCACTTGACGAAGGGCGAGGAACGTGACATCAAACGGTGTCACGACAAGAAGCTCCTCATTTGGCTCCACAATGTCGTTCACAAACCACGTCTGGCCAAATCCCCCAAGTGGCAACTGTGCCTGTACCTCATACAGTACCACCCTCGCCGAGTCGTCCTTGACGTCGCCCGGCTTCCTCTCTATGGTTGGTGGGCAGAGAAAGAGTGCTGGTCCACCGTGGCGCGGATGCGGTAGACGCACAAAATCGCAGCCTGAAAAAAGTGACACTTCACATGCCGAGGGCGGTGCATCACATAGTGCAGGAGAGGAATGTACCGCCGGCCTGGGCGAGGCGTTATGAGTCAAGTATGCATTATCCACAGTAGTGGAGGGCGAACGTTCTATATCTCCATCCTCTATGTATTTACACGCCGTATGCCGTGTGGTTCTATTGATATTATTGCACCCGTTGCTATCATTGTTATTATTATTATTATTATTGGCGGTGGTGATGACAGTCGTAGCGTCATGGAGCAGAACACGTGGCAGCACCATCATGTGCCTCGAAAGCCCATTGCTTGGAAGTGCGACGGTATGATCGGATGCATCGTAACGCACATTACCAGCAGTCCACGCCCCAACATCCATGGGGCCACACGACACGCTCTGACTGCCTTCATCATCCAGCTCTAGTCGACGCCGCGGGGAGCCACCATCAGACGAGCAGCAGGAAGAGGGATGACTACCACACCGCAGAGCATCCTGGGTGCTGCCATGTTTGCTCCTGCCGCTGCTATTAGTGTTGGCGGTAGTGGTGGCGTTGTTTTTGTTGGTACACAAGGAACTTGTCATGCGAGCCCTTTTGGTTGCCCTCATTTCTCAGCGTCAAGGGGCAAATGCACCCAAAGCACCTACGCCTGAAACAAAATCCCTTCAGCAAGCACCACACACACACACACAGAGAGAGAGAGAGAGACCGCCTTCACGTGGAAAGACGGAAATTGTAGCTTCCCTCCCTGGAACCCCTAAAAAATAAACGGCCTTTTCGTGTATTGCCTTCCTTTTTTGTGTGTGTGTGTTCTCTTTTTTTTTTTTTCCTTTTTTTGTGTTGTTTTGTTTTTTGCTTTTCCCCGCCTCTGTCGCCCTGTCCGTGTGCAGAAATAAACGTATTTTCTTCTCTTTTAAAGAAATGCCCACGATCCATTTGTGTTTGGTGTTCATATTGCGATGTGAATGCAAACAGGAGGGAGGGGAAATTAAATAAAATAAATAAAAAGAAGGTAAAAAGTTCAAAAAAAAAAAAAAATAGATAAATAAACGGTGATGCGTATAAACACGCCATAAATATGGCCTCTACATTCGTGTCGGGGGAAAAGATGTTTGTTTGTTTGTTTGTTTGGAAATCGCGTCCCTCTTCATATTTCTCTCGCATCCACAGACACGCCAAAGAGGAGGGCGCATGCGCTCAGCACCCAAGAAATTTCCCCACTTTCCTTCCACTCTTTTTGTTTTGTTTCCTCTTTATTTTTTTTTTTTCCTTTTCCTTTTCCCCCATCACCCCCCTCTGTGCATGTGCCACCGGTTACTTCTCTTCGTCCCCCCACGGCACGATTCATGTAATGTCCTCCACTCGAGTAATTGTTGCCATCGTGACGGCAATGCCCCACTGCCCTTTTCTCGCCGTCTTCAAAGAAAATATGACTTTATTTTTATTTTTTTTTTTTTGTGGCGGGGGAGGGACGGAAGTGAAGTGAAGTGAAGTGGTGCCCTCCGTTTATTCCTCTCGAATGCATGCAGGCGGCGTGTGTGACGGCCCTCCCCCTCCTCCTCTTCCCTCTCGGCTGCAGTCACCGGTGTTCACCGACAAGGAATAAAAGCAAAGCACACGTAGAGGCCGATAAAGAAAAAAAATTAAATAAAAGAAAATCTTTCCAAAAAGAAGAGAAGAAAAAAAACACACACCAGCAGCTGCTGTAGCTGCAGTACTCACCTCGCAGTAAGAAATAAACGGCCTATCCATTCATTCCGCGCATTGATAGCAAAGGGCTAACATTAGGCTCCTCCCCCTCCTCCTTCCTCCTGCAACTCTCATCTTTTGTTGCGTCCGTATTTGACACCTGAAAAGAAATAAAAATAAAAAAGACATATACATATATATATATATATACAAATGGAAAGAGAGATGGCACATAAATGGCAGGTAGAGTCCAAGACCAATGCAGTCATTGTGGTGTACTTAAAGGGCCTGTTCACCGCAGAGAATCTCCTTCATAAGCCTCATGTTTGCGCGGAAAGACCACCACGGGTAACTGAATGACGTTGGGGTGATGCCCTCAACCGCAAAGTCACCGGCCCATGCAAGGCTGTACCCGACAATGGGCGCGCTGATGGCATACGCCAGTGACCCACGCTTCACCGCTGACAAAAACAAGAGAAAGGCAGCAAAAACGGTCCCGAGCACATGAAAACGGCGCGTCCAAATATGCATGTGTTTGGAAAGGTAATAAATGTAAAACTCCCTGAAGTGGTAAAATTTAATATCAATCTTCAAACTCAGGCCAACCATCTTTTTTTTTTCCCCTTTTTTTTATGGGGCTTTGAGTGTGTGTGTGTGTGTGTGTGTGTGTGTGCTTTGTAATGGGAGAATACCACAAGTAACGCGCGTGCTTCTGGTCACGAGTGGAATAAAAAGATAGTCGTGTCAAGAAGGAAAAAAAAAAAGGAAGAAAAATACAATAGCCTTCACAGACACATACACATACATGCATATATATATATATGTATGCATACAAGGCCTTCACTGCAAATAACATTGACAATGAAAGGAGAAAGAGACAAAAAGAAGCAGGGCAATTGCATGCCTTCTCCCTCTCTCAGTCTCACTCTCACTCTCTTTCTTTCTGGTTCAAAAGGAAGGGGGTGCCCTCAATCGTAGCAAGAGATGTACACACCGGAAGTTCCCCCCACTGTACATAAAATTGACTGAGAAAAGCCGGAAGGGGTTGGAACACGCATGAAATACAAAGAAAAAAGAAAAAACTGACTAGCTGCCATTCGGTCATTTTGCTTTTCCTGCCCGTTTCTTTCCCTTCTTGCTCTTTGTTCCTGCGCCGTCCCTTTCCTGCAGTTGGTTCACAGTCGCCTGCGCCTCCGCAATGGCGTTGCGATACTCCTTCCGCTGCAATGACCACCGCTGGCAATCCTCGTTCAGTTCTTTAAGTTGCTGCCGCTTCGCCGCCTCACGCTGTGGGCCGTTGTTCATCATGTCTTCAAGCTGCAACTTGAGTTGGCGGTGTTCCTCCTCCACTTTTTCCCGCACTGCCACCTCTGCCGCAAGCCGTTCCTTCGCAGTCTCCATATCCACCTCCAGCTGCTTCTTCGCCTCCTCCAACTCCGTGTCGAGCCGCTTCTTTTCTTCCAGGCAACGTGCCTCTTGTGTGATGCAGTTTTCAATTGCGTCCTTCATGTCGCGATCCTTCTTTTCGGCTTCTGCCATGTCCAGCTTAAGCTGCGCCTCAAGTGTCTCCAGGGCTCGCCCCAATTCCATCTTCTTCCTCTGCAAGTTCTCCAGCTCCGCGCGGGCCTCATCGAGTTTGTACATTTGGTAGTGAAGATGTATGACGTTTTCCTCAAGCTCATCCTTCTCCATGTTTCGATGGGCCTCACGGTTGCGGGAGGTGATTTTCTCAATTCGCAGTACGGTGTGGTGGCCGATGCTATTTCCCTGCATCCTGCAGCGAAGCAGGTGGTGGTTGCTCTCCAGCAACGAAGCAAATGCCTCCGTGGCATCCTCGGTGAAGTGGTTTTCGGCAATGTTTAGTCGCAGCAGCGTCTTGTTCTCCACGAGAGAAACACCGAGGGCTACCAGGCCACGTTCGCCCATCCACGTGTGGGCCAAATTCAGTGAGAGCAGCGTCCGATTGGTTTCCAGCATGCCTGCAAAGGCGCAGGCGCCCTCATCCAGTATTTTATTCCCCTCCAGAGAAACTTCTTTTAAAAAGATATGCACACAAAGGGCCCGAGCCAACATGACAGCACCTTCCGAGGTAATGGCGTTTTGGTTTAGATGAAGTGACTGTAACGCGCCGTTCCTTTTTAAGGCAGAGCATAGAGCCTCAATTGCGTCGTCATCAACACCGCAATTGTCCAAATGGAGACGCAACACCAGACGGTCCATAGAAAGCGCTGAAAAGAGCTTCGGTGCAGGCATGCCACTCTTTGGCTGAATCAATGGGTTATTGCTCAACAAAATGGTGTGCAACCCCGATGTTTGCAGCGCCCCTGCACGATTCCAAACAAGTTCACCGAATGCGTCACCCACAGCACCCGTAAGCGCATTACCTGAGAGATCGACAAACGATAAACTGGGACTCTTCATCGCAGCGTGAATGATGCGGAGAGCCGCATCTGTGGTAAGCCGCACTTCACGCAGCTTCAGCGTCGTCAGCGTCGTCGACGTGCTGATTAACTCCGAGAGTACATCAATGGGGCGTCGAAATGAACCGCCGATATCACCGTCCGTCTCTGCCACCCCCTTTCCAGAAGCAGCCGCGCCAGTAGCAGAGCCAGCAAGTCCTTTGCCGCTGCCGAATCCCAGGGATGACTGCCCTTGCTGGCTACGGCGCGCTGTGGGGAAAATCGACGACCCAGGGCTCCGTGGCGGCGGTGCGACGTTAAACTCCACTGCCCCCGTCCCACCGTGGATGTTGAGAATGGCGTCAGGGATGCCAATTGTGCTGCCGCTGAGGTCAAGGTGGCGCAGAGTGCGATTCCGCAGACACCCCTCTAAGAGACTTGTGGCGCTTGCGGCGTTGATGCGATTGGCGTATGCGTCCTTTATGGAGGAGCCCAGAATAAGGGTCTGCAATTTCTTGTGCGCGGCGACGACGTAGCTCAGTGTCTGTATGCCAAGTGGTCCAATGTCGTTGGCTCCAAGGTCGAGATAGACAAGATTGGGGATGTCGCGAATGAGGTGCGCCACCATCTCGCACCCGCTGTCGCGCAGCGTGTTGCCATGCAGATCCAGGCGTGTCAGTGGGGATCGATGCAGC